CGGCCGAAATCTCCGATTCGCCCGAGACCCGTCATAAGCCCCAATGAAGCAAACGATTCTCCGACTCGCCCGAGACCGCCTCGCCGAGGCCCCCTCGTCGAGCCCCCCTCGCCCGGGACCTCGGAAGAAGTGCCGATTCTCCGATTCGCGCAAGGCCGGCTCGGGACCAGCCCCGTGACCGCCTCTTCGACCGAACTGCTCTGACCGAACGTCGCATCCAAGCGCCCAACCACTCCGACAGACGCGATGGCATGGCACAAGATAAGGTAAGTGACCGACTACACGCCAGTCGCGTCAACCTCCCGCCATCTCTGACGACGCAGGCGGGGGGTTACCGACCACTGTGCTGCCTAACTCCTGCACCAAAGACATCGCAACGTGGGGAGTCAGAACGGGTTCCTGTAGCCTCGGAATCAGCGGACCGACCGCTCCGTCTCGCCCGAGCCCCCTCGACGGGGCCTCGGATTCACTGATCTTTCTCCGCCTCGCCCGTCCGCCTCGCCCGAGACCCCCGGTAGGGCCTCGACGACCATTGGCGCGCGCCCCGCCTCGCCCGAGGCCGGGCTCATCCCGCAACCTCGTCTCATCCGCCTCAAAGGTCTCTCTGGCGGTCGTCGCATCCGATTAATGCGCCACCGCACCGCCACGTAAGCCACGATCGGCGGTCTATACCGCAACAGAGCGACGGGACAACGGTCCGATCACCTTTTTACCATCCCTCATCGACAACACAGTACCAGATCCTCGTAGGCGCCGTCTCGCCTTTATTCCGCTCTACCGATGGTCGTTGAGACCCGCATCTCGCACTGGGTCACTTCTCGCCTCCTCGACACGGCGAGCCTCGGCTGCGCAGCAGTCAGTTCCTTGCACGACCGGCTATGATGGCCGCCGAGCTTCGCAATCCACCAAGCCAACAAATGCGCGAAAGATGTTACTTGCAATGGAGACCATACCGATTAGACATCCACGGGAACTCCCACGACAACGCCATGCTGCTCCAGAGTAAATACGTCATCGAATAGTCCGCTCCACGTGTAGCTCTCTTATGTACTCTGGTTTCCTCCTCTGCGGCTATAAAAGGAGGCGGCCAGACCGCTTTCTAGGGGCGGCGGATAGAGTCACGAATACTGCATACGAACAACACGCCTCATTCGTAATTCATATCACCTCCCCTCGCGAGACACAGGACAAACTCCCTCTCGCCTAGCTTGTAACCCCTACTACGAGCACCCCAAAGGCAAGGAATACAAGAACATCTTCTCGGATCGGGCGTGGGCATCCATTGCCCGAACCAGTATAAACCTTGTGTCTCTTTGCATCACCATCCGGAATTGGAAGCACGCAGCACAAATTCACTAGTCGGTTAAGGACCCCCGGTTCCGAAACACCGACAGCTACCTATTATGTTATGTTTGCACAAATAGATAATTCAAGGGCTGGTTTGTAGTGCTTGCAGATTTCAGCTCATGTTAAAACGAATGAGAAATCAGAAATACTGTCTATTTTCCTTGAGTGAAATGTTAAAATTGTTGGTCTTCCCTTTGTTAGATTGATATAGCCTTGTGTATGCTGCCAAATGCATTTATTTATCCTGAATTTCTAATGTCAAGGCTATCTGGTGGTCTGCTAGAAATAGTACCCCTTTGTCAGATGGTTGCATGTGTTGTGAGCCCCATAACTTACTGCTTGGGGCCACATTATCATAGTTACTGCATATGTTATCATGTTTATACGTGTTGTCTAACCATTTTTGTTTGTTATATGTTCAGGTTTTATGGCAGTGGCAAAGAAGATAGCCCTCTCCATGACGTGCTAGGTTTTGAAAACTGTAGGATGAAGCTCTTTAGAGGTGTTTCATATGTTGATTGCACGGTATGATGAAACCATAGCGTTAGCACGAGCATCTGCTACACTCATTCACAGAAACTTCCAGGTACTTTTATCTTCTTTCTGAAAGATTATGGGATTATTCAGGATTATAAGGTTCTTAAGTAAGAACTTTTACTTTCAGATAAAATCAAATGTGAAAATCTGCATCATATAGCTTTGTCAAATGCTTATCTTTGTTATTAGTAATTTGTTGTCCTGTGGCACTCTTTTTTGTTGATCACACCTATAAATCTTTTTGGCCAGGCAAATTAGTTTATGTGAAATCGACTAACTTGCTGCAGGCTCTTGTAAACTTAAGAATAATGCTACATGTGTATTTGCTTATCTTTTTCATTCATACAGATTTGAACTGATTTTCCCTCCCTCCAGCGATCACGCAAAGGATCTTCTTTGAAGCATTACCAGATTGAGACACGTCATTTCTACCATGGGAACTTCTGCAGAGCAGGGTTTGATCATTTCTTTTTCGTTTGTTTTTCTATCAAAAAGTCAGAGAATATAAAAGAAAATTCTAAGATTGCCAGGCTACAGATTTTTTAGGCCTGTTGGTATCTTTGAACGGTCCATTCTTTTTTAAAAAAATCGATCTTAATGTGGCTCGTACTTCAGATTTGATAGAATTAACTTTGGATTTAATGTGGCCCGTAGCATTAGCACGGGCAAATATACTATTTATTATGTTTTGGGTATTGGAGAGGATAGATGATTTTGTCACTTAGATGTATACCTTGAGCTCTTGAACGGTGGCTTCTCCCCACTATTTTTTCTGTGAATATTCAATCTATTTTATTTTATTCTGCGTTTGGTTGTTAATTTGCGTCACCTGAAATTAGATTTGCAGATTGTTCCATATCAAGAGAGCAAGGACTGCAGCTGAGCTGCGATATTTCTAGGGAAACTGAACTTCAAACTACCACTTATCTGGCTAGAGTTCAGGGTGACGCATGCTTAAGATTGATGAGTCTGGTGCTCCGCTGCGGCGTGCTTGGCGGTGAGACAGTGGCGGGCTCGCGGTCGGCCAGGACTGGGGGATACGTCATCGTCAAATGTGATTGCAAGGTAAAGCTCTCATCTGCACCTTTTTCATTTCTATTGCTCAGACTTCAAACCTATATCTGAAAAAATATGTTCCAAATGCATGAATTAAGATTTTTCATCATTCATTGGATCATGGAGCATCATGGGTAAATTTCATTAGGTGTGTTTTAAAAATTAAAAGTATCTTGGCTACAGAAGGATTATGGTGGTATTTCTGGTAAAAAAACTCGTTGCAACCTAGGTTACATTATATATTTATCTCTATTGAATAACTGCCACTCTATTTTCTTTTGTTTGTTAGCCCAAGTACAACGAAGACTCTTGATAAGACTCGTGGGAACGAGTTTAGCTAATATAATTAACAATATTGTTGAGGCTCATGAATCCGCGTTAGAATGTGTAAAGGCCTCCCAACTACCAGCATATTCTTTTCTATGTGCTTTTGGAAGTTTAGGAGTTTGAGGAGAATGGAGACCTGTAAGCCCCAAAGGCCATCTTCAGCTATTGATCTTTCTATTGAAAGAGGTGATTTTTTTTTAGAGAAAAGGTCTCTAGGCTTTACTGAACCACCAAAGCATAATTCGATTTACATTCAGCATAGCATATTTGAGGTGTGTGTGCCATTGAAAGAGGGGATATAGAACGGCAGTTTGAAAATGGAACATATTGTTGTCTAACATTGTTTCTATTGTATCTGTATCGTCTGGCACCCATCCTCTGTGCGCTTCGTGCTGTTTGGCCTAGGGATTTTTTGTAGCCGTCTTCCTATGCTCTTGCTTTTGTGTTGAAGAAATTGGAAACTCCCCTCTAACATTTTCATTAATGTACACTAACTGCATCCTTATGTAGGCTGTCTGTGTGCTCCTGAAGTGAGGATGTTGCCTTGCTTATGAAGTGAGAGGATCAAAAGAGAACAATCTGAGATGGGGAATAGCTTTTAACACGCAATAATGCTTTGCCTAGCTATGTAGCACGGATTTGTATTGCAGTCATCACTATGTCTAGATGATATTTTCTTTTTTTCGGACATGTTTTATTTCTCCAGGCTGTCTAACTGGAGTTTTTTCTCAGTGACAAATGACCAATCTCGCGAGACAGTGATATGTGTTTTCTGTTGTGGCATACAACAATAGATATTCTTCTTGGTGCAACATATTTTTGTCAGTTCATGTCAATTCAAGTTCATTTTTCTCCTGGTCTAATATTGCTGATGATATCCGATCATCTTTTTGCTTGCAGGATGGTTGTGAATGGTTTCAGCAAAGTAAATTTCTATTTCTATTCCTTCATGCTATGGAAATATGTTTAGTTTCTTTTCTTTATCTTGGATCGGTGAAGATTGGGTATTTTCGTCTTTTACCTCCTGTTTTAATGCAGTCTTCTATTAATTCCTCCAGCCTTTAATTGATGTGCAGGTTGTAGCTTTGGCTCTTCGATATGTCAATAACAGTTTCTGAGTTTCGATGGATCACGTTGTACTGGGAAAATATTTTGATAGCCGAACTTGAATGGTTAGACCGGCCCATACTGCAAACTTGAATTTGATTGCTCTCTCTCGCGCGCTCATCACCAGATATACCGCGGTGCAAGATTCGTCCATTCAAGATTCCTGATTCCAGATATGTTTATTATACGCTGACTTCAAGTTTCAACAAATCATAGAAGAATATGTTCTCCACTCTGACATACTACGTCGAAACGTCTCCAGCTTATTACATGTGTATACAAATTTTCCCAACTAGATACAGCAAAATTTGAGCAAAGGACAGCATTTCCACCACGAACTTTCTACTTTCATATACTTCGCTATAATGAACCTCCCATCTGCAGCCACAAACTTGGAATGCTGCTTGAGAGATTAACCTTCTGTGACTGGCGTGCCTCAGCAGCACTTTGTAATGGAACGCAAAGCTCCTGTTCTACTCTCCTCAACGAACCTGTGCACAAGTGAAGACCAACACTATACTATACCTGTACAGTCATGAGGGTACTACAGACTAAATTCAAAATTGAAGTATGTTTTGATAACTCTGGAGCTATATCACGCCCTCTGGCCCTTGAAGGTTGATCTTTCAAGTACGCGGTTTCCCATATAGGCTTGTGTACACAATCTTTGTCCGATAGACCAGGATCAAGCTCAAGCCAAAAGCAATGATGCAGAACCCAGACATGATCAGGGATGAGAGGAAGAAACAGATGGCGCCCTCACACTTCGATGACGGAGCGGCTTCAGAGACTATGTTAACCACTCTGCCACTCATTGCCAGCAACGTAGAGTTGTGGCGCTGCTGAGCCTGCTTTGCTGCTTCAGCGTCATAGATGCCACTGGCGATAACCCCTGAGAATACCAGGGAGCCTGCTGGGTTTGCGACTGTGAGGAAATTATACAGTGCTCCGAAATTTTTCACCCCAAACAGTTCAGAGGCTGCGGCTGGCACAATGGCCCAGTGGGCACCGTAGCCTACTCCGACAAGCAGCGCGCCAATGTACATTGTCCCAGGCCAAGCCATTGCAAAGTTGAAGTGCCCGATCGCCATCAGGACTTGAGCTATTGCTAATGCAATTGCCCTTGGATATGCATAATCTCTGAAAACAGGTCAAGGAATGCAAAAGGATCAGAGAAGAAAAGAGTTGATGTGAATAAGAAACACCCTAAATAAATTAAGAGTTGAGCAACTCGGAGTTATACTTTTGGTTAATTCGTGATTGCAAACTAAATAACACAGTATTGCAAGTTTAGTTCACATGTTACTTTGTTCTGTTCTGTTTGTGGATCCAGCACTTAATATTTATGTTTCAATCTATTTAGTATACACTATAGTTCTGTTCTGTTTGTTAGCTCCAGAAATTAATCTCTATGTTTCAGTTTCCTCGTCTCTGCTATGCATTTGTCAGGATGGTGTACCACTTTTGTCGACCTTCATAATCAGCTCTCAGTATCAATCCGAAAATCTATATCAGGCAAGAAATTTATTCTTAAACAACATTATGGCAGCATTTGAGTCGCGGTAGAGTCTTACCGCCTGTGACCAGAAGGTCCCGGGTTCGAGTCGCGGTCTCCTCGCATTGCATAGGCTAGGATAAGGCTTGCCACTGACACCCTTCCCCAGACCCCGCACAGAGCGGGAGCTCTCTGCACTAGGTACGCCCTTTTTTTTAACATTATGGCAACAACAAACACTAGGTACAATTTGGTACACCTTTTGTTCCAAAACGAAGGTGTTTTAGTTTTATCTTAAGTCAAACCTAACATTGACCAAGTTTATAAAAGAAAATTAACATCTACAATACCAGATAAATGCACTATCAAGAAATATTTTTTTGAGCTGTGTATCTTTGCATTAGAGAGAAGCGAGAGAGACCGTTCCCTTACAAACAACCGCACTGACTCACCTAAGAGAAAAGAATGGGTTTAATTAAACTAACTTGATGTTTTAGTCTTTTAGATGGTGATGCATTTTTCTAAACACCCTACATTTTGGAACGGATGGAGTAAAAACATTGGTCAACATGGAAGGTGACTATGCTGCCAAAAAACATTTGAAAACAAAATATTTATAAGATGGCATGCGAAATAAATTCTATTCAGCAAAGAAGCATAACAATCTTACTTGACAATAATCTCTGAGAAGTACCCTCCACCAATACGTCCAAGAAAGTTCCAGATGCTAATCATTGACACAAAAATGTGGGTTTCCTCGTAACCCAATGACTGGCTCATTTGCCCAAGATTATCAATCACAGTGAGACCAGATCCAGAGCCCAGCAGAAGAGAGAAAAATAGAAGCCAGAAATCTGCCTTGATGAGCGCTTGCATCAGTGTGAAATCCTCTCCTCTCCGTGGACCTTTCCTCCTCTTAACCCTGACAGCACCAATAGCAGCTGCCTGAAATAACCTTGTCTGCAATTCTGCTATCCTTTTTTGCCTCTCTGAGGCTGGAAGTAAATCAATGTCCTTTGGCTTTTCATCCTCTACCTCGCTGAGTATAACCTCCTGTTGCTCCTCAGAAGATGTTGATGCAGTTGGTTCTTCTTTCCGAGGTGATGGCAATAATAGCGCATACAAAGTCTCATCATCATCCGAAAAGAAGCTGAGTAGAACTGGGATGACTATTGGAACTAATAAAAAGATTATTAGAATGATGGTCAACAAGACAGTCACTGACTGGCTTAAGTCAACAAGGTCTTCCAATAACATGACACCCATAAGATAAGCGGCCAAGAGCAAGCAGACGCTGTATACAAATGTGAAACTTGTGCCATCAGAAGGCCGCACTTGTCTGTGGCCTCCAACAGGTCTTACAATGAACATTGAAGCTATAACGACCATTGTTGGGCCAACTGCAACCATGAAGATCAGTGCGGCATCATCAGGAGAGTGTACAATTGCATAAATCTGCGTTAGAATTGCACCACATAATCCAGCGAATCCTTTGAGGATACCAACAATTGGTCCACGGTTCTTGGGGAAGTTCTGAACACATGAGACAAGTGCAGCAGTGTTGAAGTATGTCTCACCATTGTTACCGATGAAGATTAGAATGCACATCTGGGGAAGGATGGTAAACTCTTAGTATGACACCCACATAAAGGCAATTCAAGTCAAGAAATATAAAAGGTCAATAACAATTTCACTTTGCCATGTGGCGATTAGCAAAAGGTCCGGTTTTGGAGGCCAAAAGCTGAATAGGGACTTGGAATCCTGTGCCAGAATGTACCGTAGCAGTTGGTTCTTATGTTAATAAAGCGTAGCGTCAGGTAAAAAGCACACTTGGTTTCATATATTGCTTTTTTCCCTTATGTTTGTCATGTGATTTGTGAGAGATAACAGGAAAAATCCCAGAAAATTAACAGTAGATCCACCTAACATTCAGTCAGTGAGACTCAAAACCATGATAGCCAGCCACAACCATACTGTTGGATTACACAGCCTGGAAAAACAATGGCAAGTAGACTAGCCATCAGTTTGCTACTAACTAATTATGCAGATGCGTTGCACATGCATGCTAGTGACAGATTGTTTGCAGTCTAGACATTATTTTTTCCTGATTTATTTTAACAAATTTAGGCACCTCCATGTAGCCATATTTGGCTTACCAGTCAAATTCATATTGAAGGTGCATTGTGAAACGCATAAAGGAAATGACAAATATCGAGAGGCAACAACAGGGATGCACACTATTCAAAAGGTTACATGTTATCATTTATGTCATACAGTTGAAAGAAATTGTTTCTAAGCAGAACTCTTAGGATCTTTCTTGAGAGCATGAACAAAAAAAAGTGAGCATCAAACTTCCATAATTTTAGATGAAGGTTTCGTAGGACAGAAATGACTAAAACTAATCAAACTATATGTTATCTTGTTCTTTCTCAAGGACAAATAAGACAGCACAACGTTTCTTTACAGGTGGGAATCAACTAGAGGTGTTATGTTATAAATAGTATTGATCATTAGCCTCTACTTATCATCTAATCCAAGAAAAGAAATAGTTCAGTTTCTTAAATAAAAATGCAAAATAATGTCAACTCTCTATCTATGTGGTATGGACTATAATGTTGCTTGAAATAATATCAACTAACTCGATTCTTTTATGGAAGGGCTGTAGCCTTGTTTGAAACAAAGGGAGATTTGGCATGACAAATCTCAGTTCCTGATCTTGAAACATTTTTTTTTTCTGGAACCTTATCTTGATCTTAGGTATTTCAATAGTTCAAGTTATAGTGGCAAGATGAACCAGAACACCTTTTGAAGCCCTAAGGAATGACATTCTTTCTGTAGAAAGAGATAAGATAACAACTATACATCTCTAATACTTTCTTAACAAATAAGGAATCCTGTGATGTCATTTAACTTTCTGTACCCCTAAAACAAATCAAGTAACCTGCTGCAACTATATTTGATACAAAGAGAGTAATCAGCGCTGATGTTATAGATTGCAAATTAAGGGAGCAGAATAAGATACCACACTTAAATCACTGTATGATTTACCCTGACGTCATAGCATATACAGGAAATTTTAGATAATAAGGTACAGCTAGAGGCACATGGAAAGCAGGACAGCGACCACATTGACAAGAGACGTACACCTTAGACAACAATTAACCATATTCAATAGGTCCTATGTCAAATTGTCCAATGCAACTTCGAGAAGTTCAGCATTATAAGAGTATCCATTTCCACAATAACTATAACGTCGAGTTCAGCTACAGCAGTGTCCTAAAACAAAAGGAACCAGCTCAGCTGTCCTTTTCTAAGTGAAGAAGTCCAAGTGCTACTCTGCATCCCCGAGGTCCGAGGGCCGAGGGCATGCAGTCTTTTGTATGGTTAGAAATGATTAGTAACAGCATGTTTTGAAACCATGTGAGCAAGAATATTACGGGCATGATCCCGACCTCTGAAAGTTCAACAGCAGCAAAATCTGCGGAACTGGCCCTGTTCGTTTCGCTGAAATTTGGCTTATGCTGATGCTTATGTTGATTCGTTGTGAGAGTAAAACGCTGAAAAGTAATGCTGAAGTAGCTTGTCAGTATCGATCATCACGGGACACTGGTACGATATGAAACCGAAAGATTGGAATTTCAACGACGACTGCAATTTGGAAACCGAAAATTCCAATATATATTCCACAGAAGCATCGTGCACGATTCAATCAACAACAGTCACGCGCAAGAAAATGTAAGGAAAATTCAGCCACAAAAAATTGTAAGGAAGTTTAAGCGTTGGTAGAGCGAGCACAGGCGATCGCGACATGCAACCAAGCAATGCAGCCGCAGCCCGCAGGCGCAGGGCAACGGGGGAAAAGAGAATGGAACGGAAGCATCGAACGTGCAGTAACAGGGAAGCGGTGAAAAAAAAAGTAATAATATACAGCGATGAGAAAATGAAGAGGCGTGAGGATCTCACCGCCCAGAGCGGGGGCACGGGGACGCGGCGCGTGACGGCGAGCCAGACCCACCCGTACCCGACGAGGTTCTGCGCGGCGCCGACGAGGAGCGCGGCCCAGAGCGGGAGCACGGCGCAGAGCGTGCCGGCGAGGAAGCCGACGCTGTCGCCGAGGTCCTTGGCGACGCCGAGCCCGGCCACCTGGCGCTGGTTGTACCCGAGCGAGGCCTTGATCACGGGCGAGAGGCTGCCGAAGAGGTATCCGACCCCAGCGCAGGACTGCATCCACATCGCCGCCACGAACACCAGCCACCGGTTCCGCAGGAACCCACGCACCCGGCTGCCCACCTCCGCCATTGCGCTTCCCGGGGCCCGGACTCGGAGCTCCGACCCCACCCCTGACGCCGCGATGCCCCGCGCGCGCGCGCGGCCGATTCAGAACGGACGAGGCGGCGGGCGGGGAGTCCGCGGCGGCGCGACGGACGGACGGACGGGGTTGGGATCTTCTGGGCGCGCTCGGATCGTTGTGCGGCACGGCAGGCTCCGGCGCGGCAGCGGTCGCCGTGGCCTTTTGTGGGTTGCCGAATGAATGCCGATAAGCGTGCGTGCGTGCGTGTGTGGGTGGGTGTCCCGCCCTGCCTGCCCCAGTGTCGCGGATACAAAAATGACGGACGGTGCCGGCCGAAATTCGTGGGATTCGAGCTCGTTTCTGCTTTCGCTGTCGCAGTTTGGGCGGTCGGGTCGGGATCGGGCGGCTAGGGTGGTGGGTGGGTAGGCCCCCTTCTGGGGAGCGATGGCGACTCGGCTAGACCGCCGCGAGAGGAGCAGCAGGAGGCGGCAAAGACCAAGGCCAAGGCAGGCGAGGCGACAAACACGGGAAAGCCAAGCCTTTTTTTTCCTCCGGTGCGCAGTGCGCGCTTCACGCACGCCTTTACTCGATGGCACGGGCCAAGCCCCAGCTAGCGGGCGACCGGGCTTTTGCTGCGAATGCCGCCTGCCGGTGGGTAACCGACTGAACTGAACGGTGTCCGCGCTCGACGGTGTGGCTCGCGCGCGAGTCGCGACGCCGATGCGCCGAGACGTGTTGCCCGCCGGGGGAAAGACACCAAGCGGATGCGTTTCATGTCAGTTGCCGGCTTTTGGCGCTTGAACGACGGTGAGCTTAGGGGAAAGTTCCAACGCCGGTCTCAGTCGGTCGGTAGTCCACTTGACTTGACGCCGGAGAATGGCTGTTTGTGCCGTCTGCGTCTTCTGCGGCGTGTCCTTGCCTGCCTGCATGCTTGCTGTCATTTTTCCCCGCCGTCTCGTCGGTGGGCCGTGGGCCGATGACATACACGACTGGTAATCTATATTTTATTTCTGCGTAATAATAAACTAGTACTCCGTCTGTTAAGATGGTATATGCTACACGTCAGCCGTGTCTATTCAGCGCTTGCCATTTTAGCTAATGTGTGAGCCGGACAAAATATAGAACGAAGGTAGCGATTTTGGATGGATGCCTGGCTATCGTCGTCTATGTCTACTAGTCTCTGCACCGTGGACGACTCCAACGAACCACCGTTCTCAATCCAGAGGAGTAGAGCTAACAATGACAGTCGTGCCCGTGGGTGCGGGTATCCGCAGCCGCAGGTTTCGTACCCGATGGGTATGAGCACAGGCAAAAGCTCACCCACGGATATTTAAGAGTAGGCTAATCGTTGTAGGCATTGCTTCTTGGTTAACTACATTGTTCGTTATAATTTTAGGAACTCATGTTATAAAATATAAATACCAATCACATGTAATGGCCACAAATTCGGTTAGCGTATATGCAAGGTGTACGAGCAAATACCATAAATCAACATGACAACATATTCATGCCCTGCCAAAAGAAATTCATGACACGTGAGAAGGAGGTACTAGCCGTATGTTTTTACTACACTATGTAGTAGCAACCTACGCACAATTTTAGATGTGTACGTAACATGGATCTAAAGGGATCTAGATTACACTGAGCATAGGGATATCATATAGGAGATCAGAACTTCTAATTCACATTGCCATGAACAAAGATAATAAAGGAGCCACTTCTGTAGGCTAATATATAGTTCAAAGTTTTACTGACAATCTGGAGCTGGACAATTTGTTGAATCTATTTGAAACAACAAAAGATGCTATATCAAGAGAGCATGGGTGCGTGGGTCTCATCTATGCTCTACATACCTGCAAGATAAGTCGGTAGTCGGGTAGTGCATAGCTAGGATTCAAGATATTTTAAAACCACGAATTTTGTATATATAAACGGAAACATCCCAATACATTGTAAGAATCATCAGTTGAGTTGTCTTGGCAGTGTGAAACTAAATATAGGGCTTGTTCGCTTTGCTGAAAAGCCATGGCTGAAAGTCTTGTTCGCTAATTTGTTGTAAGAGAAAAACACTGTTCATTCGTTGAAATAATACGGCTCATAAGACAGGCGAACAGGGCCACAGTAACAAAGGTCAACTATTACTCTTTGTGGATGATCAGGTTTACATCATGAATGATGGCAGGACAAAATGCCTATGGGAAGTAGTGGGCAAAGACAACTCACATGGTAAGTTCATATCTTAGGCTGCAAATACCAACCAGGTCATGGAGCAAATGGCTGGAGTGTGAAGGAAACATGCATGAATTTTGTGATATTAAAGCTTTAACTCTGACATAGCAATTCTAAGTGAACTTAAAATAATTGCACCAGGTACTAAAGCTCATATTTGGAGGTGTTATAGCAATATTAATCTGATGAAAGTTTGGACTGCAGTAAACTTCACCAGGGAGGCAAAATTGGTTAGCGTCATACTTGTTTATAACACAAACATATGAATAAAGATCCTCAAAGCGGCAGTGCTCAAAAGAGCCTAACTGTGTCCACCATATGTTGCACTAAACCAAGTAAACCAATATAAATGATTAGAAATCTAATGTCAATAGAAGGGGGGCAGACCCAGTGCCGGAGGCTCCCACATGAGTGGGGTCTGCGGAAGGGAAAAATCGAGGCAAGCCTTCCCCCGCAAAATCTGCGGAGAGGCTGTTTCGAACCTGCGACCTGGTGACTCAGTGAGACAGCTTTCACCACTGCACCAGGCCTGCCTTTCAATTATATGTTGGTAAATCTAATGTCAATAGGAGTAGATTAATTATAGACTGAAATTGGGAATCTGAACCGATGCAGACATGTATATGTTGGTATGTAGTGATGTTCAGAAATGTCTATCAGATGGTTGAATGGTGCATTCCTTATTTCAGCAGTTGTAGCACATTGCAAACATGTATATGTTGGTATGTAGTGATGTTCAGAAATATCAGAACAAAAATAGACTAATCTGACAATGAACTAACCTCAGAGGTGCAAAAGACAATGTAGTGCAGAACTAAACAGTGATGGTCCATGTAGTGGAACAGCATGCACGTCCTTGAAAAGAAATAAGAGAAGATGAGCATTTTGGTACAATTTCAGCTTTCTCGTTGATGCTGGCAACCACATACTCGGAAGACACCATCACCAACCCTTCAAATGATGTGTTATCCTAGGAATACTTGGAGACCTCGCCCACCAACCTCAACTTTAAAGCAGCAAAAACCATGAGATTCGAGCTGTGTACTTACTTTCTCAAGAACAATATTGGCTGATACTGATAATCATGTCAAGGAAGCATTTTGCAATACTGAAGGGTCAGAAAGATGAAAAATTGAGAGATACATGAAGTTCAAACATTATTGACAGCACGTGCAGAAAAATGGAAGTGCGAGGAAGTGCCATGACTAAACCAGCAAAAGAGAATGGCATAGCATGTGCGAAACTTGCAGGACTATTCTCTAAGTAGGAACAGATCAGAAATTCAGATCTAATGAAATCAAAGGATACTTGGATATTTAAGTTGGTATGGTTCCTGTCCTTCCACACTGATAGATTTATTCACAAAAATTCATCTTTATTAGATGGAATGGAATTCAGATTCACTCTGCATGGATATATATTATTAAGTAATGAGCACTCCATTCCAAGTCAAAGAAGTTCCACTCACCATGCCCTCTACCTGTGCACACACCGGAGCACACTTGACATCCTAGTCAAATGCAATCACCATAACATTCCAGAAACCAAACTGGACGCTAAACTTCATAGGCAAACAGATCGATGCAGTTGATGCTACACAGGATGCACCGATGCACACAGAAAACAGAAAAGAAAAGGCAACCAGAAAAAAATTAGGGAAAGTAAACTTTTATCCTATCCCAATGCTTCCACATGCAACAAACATCCTCCTTGTTGCCATATACGATTACAAGTACCAAGGATCAACTGCAAGCATAAATAAAACTTATACAGCCCATAGGTCCACCTAACCAGGAAAATATTACAGCAATGAGGATATTAACAAATCCATCAACTTAGATTTCCTTTCCTCAATGATGCAAGTTCAACGCTCATTTCATCCACTAAAGTTCAGCTGTCACATTTCACCTAAATAGACTAAGCTACTGCAGATAATACCAAGATAATCTAGATATAACAAACAACACTCCTACAGACATGTCTACTCCGGGGACGGAGGTTCAGGAAGCAGCCACGGCGCCACGGCAACCGGTAGGTACCACTAACCTGAACTTCCTTCTTGGAGGCAGCGCTCCCTTGAAGCTGCTGTGCTCTGGCACATGCAACTTGCTGAAGGTAGCTTTCACCTGAACTTTGGCTTCTTGGAGGGCGGCGCTCCCTTGAAGCTGCTGCGCTCCGGTGCACGTGACTTGCTGAAGGTCTTCGCCTTGCGGCGCCTCCTCTCCTCCTCACTGTCCGACTCTGCACCATTCTCACGGTCCGCGTTGCTTGCCTCACGTTCCAGTTCCTCCCAGGTCTTGCCCTTCTCCTCCTCTGAGTCCTCAACTGACTCATCATCATCATCATCGTCAGATTCCACCAAGGACTCCCTATCGGAGTCATCATCTTCTGACTCGGACTCAGGCTCAGCGTCGGATGGTACATAGCCTTGGTCTGATTCCTCTGTATCATCAGTCTCTGAGTCGCTCGCCTCCATGTTCAGGAACTCCCAGCCGCCATCGTCAATGAACTTCTGAGGATCATCAATTATAGTTTTCAGGATAGGACGCCAGTTCAGATTCAACCTGCTCTCGTAGTACTTGAGGTCAGTTGTGTCCAGCCATTCCTTTATCGCGTCAAGCGATGCTGAAGGGATGGAATCAATGCGAAGAACATCCTTCTTGAAGTCCTTGAACACGATAGCCATGTCAAAGTTCTTCGTTCCAAAGCCCACCCTCTCCAGATTAACAATCTCTATCTCGCTCAGGCTCACCACAAGGAAGGGAGTCTCAATCAGCTC